GTCTCTTTATGTTCTATGTAGGCTACTTATTACTGGTATTATAGATATAAAAATATATACATTTACCTTAAGGAGCAACAGGCTTATCAATATCTGGGTGTTTAAGTTTCATTACATTTCAGTCCATTGCATGGAAAGCATTATACATGCAGTGGCTGAGTTACAAACATTTGACTTACAAACGACTTCTACTTACAAGCAGGGAGTGAGTCAACAGAAGGTGAGAGGAAATCTACTCCTAGGAAGGGAAATTCACTCCTGTAAGAATTATCATGGTTAAAAGGTGTATCCAATGAAGCTTTATCAGTAATCCTTGTTTCCATGACAACCCCAAATTTTCAAAATCCAACTGTCACAGGAACAGAAAGTGAGGAGAAATCTGCACAGGGGCACAGACTGCAAAACAAATGTTTCAGGGTTGTTAACCCTTCCCTATGCTATCCAAAACTTTAAAAAAATTGACAGGAGTGACATTTTAAAAATGTACCTGTTCCAACTTGCACACAAATTCACATTAAAAACAAACCTACAGGACCTATATTTTTCTATTACAGCACATAACATTGCCTTAAGAGATTCACAAAGACTCTCATAGAGGCTGAACCCTATTTCTTTACTGGGCTGTTTAATAGGGTTGATAATGATATGTAAAGGCTGTCTGTACAAGCACCTGACTTACAAATGACTCATAGTTAAAAACAAGGGTGACACTACAGAAAGTGAGAGAAATCTACCCCTAGAAAGGGAAATTCAAAGTTATCATAGGAAAACGTGTCCTCCCTGTGGACATCAGACTGGCGCCCTCCCTTATGACATTCCGCAAGAGACTAAAGACGTGGTTGTTTGAGAAGGCGTTTGAGTAAATGCTGCAACAATTGGCAATGACGATTGGAACGGAACATGGATAACGAGATTTGGATTGTGATTCAATGATGAGACGTCGCGAATGATTTAGTGTAATTGTATTATTGATAGTGATGTTTATTGTTGTTTGTGATATTGCTTATGTTGCAAATTGTACCTGTTTTTATATGTTGTACACCGCCGTGAGTCGCCCTAGGGCTGAGAACGGCGGTCTACAAGTGCAGTAAATAAATAAATAAATAAATAAATAATAAAACGTATCTCAACTGAAGATCTATCACCAATCTTTGTTTCCACAAGTCAATTTTTTCAAAATCCAGTTATCACAGGGACAGAAAGTAAGGTGAAATCTTCTGAACCAAGGGTACAGAGAGAAAAATAAACTCCACAGAGGTATTAACCCTTCCCTGGGCTATCCAAAGTGTGTGTGTGTGTGTAATATTATATAGGGCTGGAGTTACACTTAAAATTGCACCTGTTCCAACTTACAAACACATTTCTTGCTTCTTGGCAGGGGGTTGGACTGGGTGGTCCACGAGGTCTCTTCCATCTCTATGATTCTATGATTCAACTTAAGAAGAAACCTACAGAACCTATCTTGTTCGTCATTTGGGGACTACCTGTACATGTAGAAATAAGACACAGTCCTTTTCCCATCATAATCATCAGGCTCTCAACACTTTCTTTAATACCCCACGGTGTTTGCCATTTCCCAAAGATTTTTACATATCCAGGTCTATCTCTTGCATCATATCAATAAGAATCTTAACAACATCTACTCAGATATTAATTCTTATCTGTCGAGTAATTGCATATCTTGACAGCTGCTTTGATTACACAGAAATTCAAATACTATGAGGAACAGCTAGGGGAGTTGGGTTTGTTTAACTTTGAGTGTGGTGACATGATAGTCATATTTAAATGGGTCCTCCTATAGGAGATGGAGCAAGCTGTTTTCTACTGCCCCAGAAACTAGAACACAAACCAATGGGTTCAAATTACAATAAGAGAGATTTCATCTAGACATTAGGAAGAATGCACTGACAGTGAAATCAGTACAATGAACTGCCTTCAAAGTGATGGGCTCTCTTTTTTTGAAGGCTTTTAAACAGAAATAGGATGGTCATATACCAGAAGTACTTTAGATGTGTATTCCTACACAGAAAACAACAGATTTAAATATCCCTTGCAGTCCCTCTTCCAATTTTATGATTCTAATATTTTATGATTCTAATATTCCAGTCCATTTCAGTGTTTTCTTGTTATACTCCATTGAAACAACATTTATTTGCTAGATAGACTAGAGATTACAAGCTTCTCAGTTCATTAGCAAAACTTCTCAATTTACATGTTGTAACATCCTAAGAAAGATGCCACTCAAATTGAACTATCAAAAGTGTGTTTATGCAGCTCTCTCTTTCTTCCAACTTCAATTAGTTTTCTTATTTCAAAGTCTCATTTCATTTAGATTCACCCTATATGCAACCAAGGCCTACTGTTTTTTGAGGGAAGGCAGGCATGAGTAATTTCTCCATCTGGAGTTTGAATGGACTGTCCAGATCATGAATGACATCTTCTGGCAAAAGAGAGAGGGATGTCCTAGAGCTACAAAGTTGGTCAGGTTCCAGAAATGATAGAAAACCAAAAGTATCTCCAGGAGGGATGTCAATATTTAAAATTACAAATCAGGCAGGAACATTTCAAATATGCCAATAGCATATGTGATTACATTAGGGAAAAGATGGACTGCAATGCTTACTCCTAAAGCCAACTACCAATATAATGGAAAACTCTCTCACTCACCCAGCCAAACACTTTCTGTGGCACCTTCATGTTTTATACCCAAATTAGGGAAAGTTTTAAGGACAACCACATTATTGTTTATCCTTTAGAAGTAACCACAAAACGTTCCACTTTCCTTTCCAACTAAATGTCACAAGACTAACATCTAAAATTGGTCTGTTACGATGACAACTAATAAACCATCCTTATCTTTGAACCCCTAAAATCAACTAATGTGAACAGTGAAGAAAATTTATTTAAATGTTTGGATTCTGATTAGATTTTTTTTTCCTGAAGCGAAAATATCTGACTTTGAACATATAAATTATCAAAGTATGTCCCAAATTAAAGTTTTTGCTTCTCCTACTACAGCTACAGTCTATTACTTGTAGTTACCAAGGTCAGGGAAAACTCTGCAGGAACCATCAGATTTTTAATGTCTCTTTTCTTGAGTTCCCTTGAGAACAGAAAAGGCGGGGGAGAAAGTTTTGTTCATTATCTTAACCTTAGCAAGTAGCACAATTAATAGCTGGTATTGAAAGACTGTAGTGTCCCTTCATTGATAAAAGGCTTGTGACAACAGAGAGGAAGGGCTCCTTTTGATATTTCTCCTCCTTCTTCCGTCATTTGGGGACAGTGCTAGACAAAACAGAAATGTGGAGAGTACTGATAAAATCACACACACCCTCCCACCCCGCTGGTCTGTTGTCTGCAGAGGGATTACATGGTAAGATTATGTAATAAAATGTTGATAGTCACTGTGTTGGATCCCAACTTAAACAGATTCACTTGAATCAATGGAATTAAATTTAGTCACAACTAATTTGTCCCACAGATTTAAGTGGACAATGACTATGTCTAGTTTCAACATAGAGATAAAATGATGAAAAGTGCAGTGAATACGTAGTTCAATAGCCATTATGTTTATCCTAAAGATGCAATTATATTGTGGCCATCATTGCTTAAATGAATTATGAATTCAGTTTTAATTAAGAAACTAAAATCCTTTACCAATTTTCTTTGAAAATGACCTAAAACCAAAGAAGAAACACAAAAAATAACATATCCTCACACATATAAACAAATTGAAAATAAATTGTTTTTTATTGTTTCCAAGAAGATTTTTTAAAAATGTGGAGTGAATTTTAAACATAAAAAATTATCTGTGGAAAGCTGCATGGAGTTTTGTTTTCAGAAAAATCAGCAATGATTAGAACTTTATGAAAATTGCTACAACTGGCGAATTGCTATATATAATTAACGTATTCTGAAATAAATGATTTTCAACATCATGTTGGAGAGTGGAAGATATTATTATTTACTTCTTTTGTATACCGCAAATATCAGCCTAAAAAGGCGACTCGAAGATATCTATGCTCAATACCACTCTCATATTTCATCTTTGATATTTTTCATATCATGTGTTTTGAGAAGTCAAATAATCTGATCCTAAACACTTGCCAACAATTATGTACCTTTCATAATGTATCTAAGCAGCTTATAATGTAAGAATGCTACATTATGTGTATAATGTACATGATGCTGCATTATCACAAATGTTAGCCCCAGTGGATGCTACACATTATTTGGGGGGGGGGGTGTTCAAATTTTAAAATTGAGTAAGTCACAAGTAGCCAAACAGCAGAAGAAATGCAACTCTCACTTCATGCAATTGTTGATAACATACAACATTTCCAATTCAGGAAGAATAAGCAAGCACAAAAGAAGGAAAGATAAATGGAAATGAGTATCAATACTAATTAAACATAGGTGCTGCTCTATTAATCAAAAGCCTGAAGCATCACTTTGAAAAAAATGAGATTCTAAACATCAGGTTATGCTTTGGGTGACAACATCCACAGAGCAAAGACAAGCGCAAAATAGGAGGTGTTTAACGAACAAAGAGCAAACTGTCGCTTGAAGGGAATAATGCCTCTTCACACCCAATTTTGCCCAATTAAGCCGAGCTATTGGATCCTGATCAACTGAAAGCCAGAAGGAGGTAGGTATAAAAGTCCATGTGTTGCAGACACAAACCATGTACACAGAACACTCTGTCTAATTTTTAATGCACAATGAAAACAAACCTGTGATGGCAAGACCTCTAGTCTCTATAAATACTGAGTCAGGTGATAAAGGGATCGCTGCACAGAGCATAAAATGTGTGCAAAGGAAACAAACACAAACAAAGGGACATCCAAATATATTGAAAAACAGACCACAAAGGGATTATTAGATTAGGGGGCCATTTCTCTTAAAGGGTGGCTTGCAAGACTGGGTTTTCTGCAGCAGCCCATCTCCATGGGAGAAATAGCAGGCACAAAGTAGATCTTTCATCAGGAAACATTTCTCACCATTTCTTTTTCTTCCCTCCTCTTTTGTCACTTTCTGCTGTGCCATTACTTTCTGTGGAGAGCCTCTGCCTGAGTTGGGCTTCCCTGATTCGTTGCTGATGACAGAACCGTTCTCGCTCGGCGACCTGCTGCAAGTAACCATAGCAACAAGGAAGAAGACTAAGTTTCTCCTGCATATTCCTCATTTCAAGGTTATTGCATTTGCTCGCTTTGCATCACTGGCTTTTCAGGTCTGGCTTTATACAAGGAAGAACGAATAAAAATGATGCTGCAGCAAAGAAACACAATGGAAGAAGGGAAATATCCATACCATATTTTTTAAAATAAAAACTCAAAACCAAGAAAGGTCTTTGTGCATTCACAACTGAATGCCTTGTCTCTGCAAACTCACTGTGAGAAGGGGAAATTTTGAGAGGATAAAAAGATCATTTCCCCCCACAGAGCAAACACTAAATAATTTTGATAGTCCAAATCTTCTTTCAGCAAAGGCCGAGCAGGCTCATTCCACATCTTTTCATACTTGAAATATGTCTACAATCATAGTCAATATATTTTCATTCATTAAGTATGCCTTCAGTTATACTTCCGAAAGAAATATACCTGTTTGATGGACTTTTATATAGTGGAAAAGCCCTCGTCTTTCTTATCATTTGCAAGATTTTCCTTTATCAGTGTGTGTTTATAAAGAAAGGACACTCAACCGTAAATGTATGATAACTTTAACACACCATATGTATACATTTTAAAAAACATATGTTCTCAAAAAATAAGTTACACAGTAGGTTCATGATCCAAACCAAGAAGGAGACTGCAAGCATCTAGTATTAATTTTGTCGCTTTTATCTAACCCAAAATTATTTTAATGTGTAGCATAGTCAAACAAGCCAGGATTATTAATCATAGCATAGTTAACAGTAATCACAGTTTGTCTATGTTCAGACATAACAACACACAACAGTTAAGGAGGGGAGCCAATGTTTCCAGTCTCTTCCTTACCACTGTGCCAGAAGTCGGTCAAGTGGTAGTACATAAGCTCAGGGCATTCACAAACCAGTTTAATATTGTGTATGAGCACAGCCTTTTTTTAAGACGCTTACTTATGATGATTAGGTACTACCAAAAAACCACCAAGCCACAGGCATCTCTGCCACACATAATGGGGGCATCACTCAACCATTCTCCATTTCTGTTCAAATGTTGTATCCACATGGGAAAGAAAGCAGCGTCTTGTTTGATATGTTCTAGTTTCCTCATCATAGGGAATATCTTCTTTCATTTGAAAGTGAGACTTCCCTTGATTCTGACAAGTATTGTTTCTGGTGTTGGTGAATGTGAGAATGGAGAGGGAGGAATGTATTTGTATATAACAACAAGCCAAGATTCCTGGTTTGCTAAGCAGCATGCTGAGATGCCAAGCAATTTTGCTACCACATTGTCACAAATGAGTAAAATTAACTCATTTTATCACGATGCCTGAATCTGGGAACCTGGCAAGCCAAAAAATAAACTAGAATTAGCAAGCCAACAACAAAGCTTGATCTTTTTTCCTTACATATTAACAGAGTTGGGTTCTTTGAGAGAAGGATTGTAGACATGGGAATAATGACAAAAGCATTGGTTAGTTTGACATACTTATGCAAACCAGAAGCAAACAGGCTAAGTTCACCAGCGTGCTGCTCATCAATTGTAAATCAGAATAATCCAAGGATCCTGATTTAACATAATGTGCCAATATAGACAAATCACAGGACAGGATCAATTCATATAAGATTATTCTTATCTTCTCATGAACATATAAAACAAACATTTTGTAAGTTTTTGATATAAATTGTCAAACTCTTTTCAGATTCTTCCGATATTCAGAAATGTCAAAACCACCTGTGTGTTAAATTTCTCAGATTTAACATTCACACAGTCCATGTATACCTGATACTACACTGAATATGCATATCTCTTTAGAGTAATGTGAGATGCCGGATTAGGCATTCCAGCCAAAGATTCAGCTGATAAATCATAATGATGTCATTTAAAAACTGATTTTAGGCAGTACTATTACAAATACATTCCTCGGTTCCCTTTAGCAATACTGGTATAAGTGGAAATGAAGCAAATCAACAATGCTTTTATTGTTTGCATGTATGGGTTATCCAGTTAAGTAACAAGCAATGACAGTGAAATCAAAGCACAAGGCCACTGTGAAATAAATATTAGACAAACAGTTTCATAACTAAAGAATGTTCTGACAGTGAATTAATTGCTCTCAAGTTGCCTTGGGTGTATGGCCGGCACTGAAGAAGCTACGGTATTACTTAGCAATTTAGAAAACCTTTAGTTGTTACTCTTAAACCAACATCCTCTGAGAAGCCTTAGGTCTTAATGCAATTGTTAGTACACCCATTTAATAAAATACAATTTAGTAAGTCAACAGTTATGTAACTGCCATTGATTCAATAAGTCTATTGCAATTAGCACTAACAATTGGATATAGTTCTTTATTTCTCCACTTAAGTCTTCAACTCTTTACTGAAATAAATCCTATGTATAAAAGCAAGAGCAAGCCAACCTGAGGGCAGAATTCATTTACAGAGAATTTCTCAAGGGACATATTCCTATATATACTGCAATTTATATTGAAAACCCTTCCCATCACCAGGATAATTAAAATTCCAGCAGTGGGCAGGGCCAAAGGTGAGATATTTGGACCAAGGATGACTATGCAGACCTCAACCTATTGAGAGCTTCAAAGAGATTTCAAGGGAACTTGGAATTGTGCCTGACAATTGAGAAGGAGCCAGTGTTGTACAACCACTTGGGAGCTCTATCTGCATCATTCAGTCCCACTCAGCAACTCAGCAGTTACTTTTTATTAACAGAAATTTCCAGACTTCAGAAACATGCCTCACAGCAGTCTAATCTGGAGGCTGCCACAGCACAGACAACAAGAGGTGCCTCTTTTTCAAGAGCTCAAATGGTGTTTCGTAGAAGCAAATTGAATCTCCATAGACAAAGCTGATCTAGGAAAAGCTCAAAAGGTGGAGCAATTCCTTTAGAATACATGTGGACCAGTTTCAGCAGCAACAGTTTTAATAACCCTTCCAAGCAAAACTGAAAGCAAGTGAAAGATCATTTCTAGTTTGAGGAGTGGAGGGACCCCACTTTCTAGGTTATTTTTTTCTGGGGGTGAGAGCTACAATCAGGTATGGGGATTCCATTTTGTTCACTAGAAGGACATTGCTGCTTTTTTTTTGCTTTTTTTTCTTTCCTTTTTTTTGTTTTTGTTTTTTGTGTCAGGAGTGACATTGCTGCTGCTGCTGGATGGTGAAAGAAAGAAAGCAAGAAAAAAATGTCTTGGGGGGTCAGTACAGTAACTCCTAACCCCTGCATTAGACAAAATGTAATCCCATCTAGCACAGAATGAATGCTTTTCAAAGAGGCACGCCCTGCAACAACATCACAGTCCTTTTTATTGAAATTTCTTCTTGGAGGTTATATATTCAATATTGAACTGAGGTGCTGTAACCCATGGAGGTGTTTAGTACTATCAAGATATAAGCATTGAAACTACTTCTTAATTCAGAGTAGTTTTCAAGATCAGTCAATTATCATCTCAGTCCCACTCATTCTGTCACCGTTAATACATACCTCTTTCTTGTTTCATTAGACTTGGCAGTTTTAGCCATGCTTCCATCCTGAATAATTTCCCTCTCCTGGGATGTGGGAGCATCTCTGACAGGAAGTGGAAGTACTACAGTCTCCTGGGTAACAGGTAAAACCTCGTCTTCAGCTCCCTGCTGACCTAAATGTTGCTTGGCATAGTCAAAGCCCTGGACAGGCTAGAAAGACAAAACAAAACAAGTCTGTACATAGTTTGTTTATTTTACAACTGAGATTAATCTTGGTGTTTATATATTAAAAATCTGAAAGAATTACACCTTTGAGCACACACATTGGATGCAGTTGTGGTACCCAACAGTGTTCTCTTCATTGTCATTATACTGTTCATTTTTTGCTTGTTTCTGCATCCACAGCATTATCACAAGTTTCCATAAACAAAACAACTGAATCGCAAAGTAGACAAACAAAACCAAGAATTCTTGAGGCAAAGAAATAGATAAATGGCTCTAAGAAGTTGCAGCAATAGACAGAGCAGAAAAGTGTGTCAAAACAGCAGTAAATTATATTTTGCACTATCTTAGAGGAAACACAAAATGAAAAGAAATAAGAAAAGAGATGCACGAGAACAAATATTTATTTTTAAATACTTTTATTTGTTAAAACAATCTTCTCAGCAGATGAAATGGATGAGATAGAAAAAATAATGGGTGATAGTCTGGCCTTGTTGAAATAAAGTGACTTCAAAGGCTTGTCACCAAGAACAAAATGGTTTTGAAATATTAAGTTTACCATTGTAGGACTCTAAAATGTAAAGGAGAAATGCTGCAGTTAAAGACAAACCAATAAATGGAAGAGCATTTGCTTCAAACTGAACACTGGAGTACTTTTCTCCATGAGTTAGAAAATTAGCCATTATTCCTTAAGGGCTTTTTTAAAATATTAAGGTAATATGGCCATGTTCTAGAGGCATTTCTCCTGACGTTTCGCCTGCATCTATGGCAAGCTTCATCAGACCTCTGAGGAAGCTTGCCATAGATGCAGGCGAAACGTCAGGAGAAATGCCTCTAGAACATGGCCATATAGCCCGAAAAAAACCCACAAGAACTGAGTGATTCCGGCCATGAAAGCCTTCGACAATACAATATTAAGGTACATGCTCAAACGTATCCATTTTTAAACTTTACCAATGAAACAAAGTTATGTGCTATTCAAAATACCATCTGCTTTGTATTTGTTCCTCTTCAGCAACTTGTGACAATAAATTACATTTAACAGATGCATACAATATCCTGCTGGTACATCAGTCATAAAATTATACATGTTGTCTATTCAAAATGTTGTTTGCATTTTGACTACACGTATATGGCTTTTACTGTGCCTTTATACTTTTAACCCAGCGCTTAATTAAGATAAAAATGTACTTATTTCAAACAGAATATTTTTGATAGAGGACACATCTACACGGCCAAAAAAAACCTCTAATTTACTTCTGGTTGTTCCCACAATGTTCCAATGAGTATTGCAATTTTTTCAGGTTAAACCAAATTTGCCCTGCTTTGGGCAAAGTCGGGGGATACTCTAGAGCAGCGGTTCTCAACCTGTGGGTTGCAGCTTCTTTGGGGATCGAATGACCATTCACAGGGGATGCCACTTCACCTCCTTGAAGTCCGAAAATGGACTCCTCCTCCTCTTCCTCCAGTAGTACGGGGCAGAGAGGAGTCAGAAGCACGTGTGGTGGGAGAAGGCAATGACGTGGGGCCCGCTCTCTTTCACCCCCTTTCCTTCTCTCGTTGTTCTCTCTCTCATTTTCTTTCTCACCGTTTCTCCCTTCTCCTTCTCTCTTGTTCTCTCCCTTTCCTTTATTTTTCTTTCTCTTTTCCTCTCCCTTTCTTCCCTCTTTTTCCCCATTTTTTCTCTCCCTTTCTCCTCTGCTCCTTTTTATATCGCTTCTTCTTTTCCCCCACCTTCTTTCTCTTCCCTTCTTTCTCCTCATTTCCTTCTCTCTCTCTCCCTTCTCTTCTCTTCTCTTGCCTCCCTCTTTCCTTTCTCCTTCTTCTTTCTAGTTCTTTCCTTTCTTTCTGTCTTCCTTCCCCTCCTTTCCCTTCCCTTCTTTCTGCCCTTTCTTTTCCTTCCTTCTCATATTTTCTTCTCTCTATACCTCCCTTTTCTATTGATAATTCTTACTCTTCTCTTTCTCTTTCCTCCCCTATCTCCTTCCATTTCTCCCCTTTCTTTTAATCCATCCTTTTTTCTATTTCTTTGTGTCACCTTCCCTTTCCCCTTCTAGTTCTTTCCTGATTTTCTATTCATCCCTTGTTTTCTCTTTTGCTCTCCCTCCCTTCTCTTTTTCTATCTCTCGCCATCTTTCTTCCTCTCCTTCCCTTTCTTTTTCTCTTTCTCTCCCCTCTCTTTCTTTCTTACTTTTTATCTTTCTTCCTCTCCTTTCCTTTTTCTCCCTCTCTTGTGCCCCTTTCTCCCTTCTCTTATTTCTTTCCTCTTTCTTCCTCTCCCTCTTTCTCTCTTGAGCCTCTCTCTCTCTTCCTCCTCTCTCCTTCTTTCTCTAACTTTTTATCTTGCCTTTACTCTTCCTCTCTTTTTCTTTCTCTTGTAACCCTTTCTCTTTCCTTCTTTCTCTCCACTCCCTTACACTACGTCTCCTTCTCTCTCCCTTTCTTTTCTCTTTTTCTCTCTTTCTCTCCTCCTCATCTCTTCTCCCCTATCTTTCTTTCTCAGCCTAAGAGGAAGGCAATGGTGACAACACAACCAGGCCAAGAACCCCCTGATGGTTTTGGACTAAGATTTCCAAAAGCCAGGTTAGGTTTGAAGTTACATCAGAGCAGGAGCTTTCTATAAAAGAAACCTTCTCATCCACATCCCATTTCCAGTCTTTGCAAATTCATCCCTCCTCTTAAGAATATACAGGCAGTTCCTAAGTTACAAACAAGATAGGTTCTGTAGGTTTGTTCTTAAGTTGAATTTGTACATAAGCCAGAATAGGTACATTTTTAAAGTGTAACTCCAGCCATATATAATTACATATTGTGAGTTGTTGTAGGTTTTTCGGCTATATGGCCATGGTCTAGAGGCATTCTCCCCTGATGTTTCATATATTCATATATTCATATAAATACATATTGTATTTGTGATTAATCACTATGCTTTAATTACATTTAATTTGTAAAAATGAAAATACATCCTGCATATCAAAATAATTTTATAATTGGGGTCACCACAACATGAGAAACTATATTAAAGGGTTGTGACATTAGGAAGGTTAAGAACCACTGCTCTAGTGTTTGCTGGTGATCTGTACTCCTCCAGTGCAATTTGATGGTCAACTCCTTTTGAAACTTCTAGCAGAAGCTGAGCATAGCACTTCTCCAGGCATTATCTTCTGCATGGTCCTATGGTATTCAAAACTCTCCCAATTACCAAAATTACATTCAACAAGATCACATATTATGCAGGTCTACTGTAAATATGTACTACTGTAAATATGTACTGCAATTATATCATCCTCCTCTTTCTGGGAGAGAAAAGAGCAGGAATGTTGAATTAAGTCTTCTGGAGTGGGAAGATGAGAAGTATGGGTTCTGCCTGAGTAAAACAAATGGCTAAATTTGCCACTCTTAGAGCTGTGCTTTCCAGTCTAATTAATTTCATCAGGATAATGTCAGTTCAGTTCTTGGCCTAAACACTTATTACCATATTTTATCAAAAACCCATTCATCATAACCTTAACTGTTAATATACTAGACAGATTGAGAAATTTTCTTCCTTCTTCTCCATATAAACAATTAATACTTTAGGGGCAATGAGAAAAGGATGTGATGAAACTGTGATATTTTAAGTGAAACAATTGATACAAAGAACCGATAAGTAATAAAGAGGAGGAGGAGGAGGAGGAGGAGGAGGAGGAGGGAACTCAGGGAGGATTCCAACATAACAATGGCAAATATTCAATGCTTACATAAAACACATAATAACATAAAGTACCAAAAAAAAAACACATATGAAAGGAACATTAAAACCTAATATCAGTAGATTAAACCTGACATCAATAAACTATACGTAGTAGACAAAATTCTAAAATCACATAAATCTAAACAAAAAAAACCACATTAGTGTACAACAGCCAGCAAGGGTTCACAAAACGGTGTGGGTTGGTTATGTAGTCAGGTGAAGTCATTGGGCTGGTGTGGACCAAAAAAAGCCCAAATACAAATAGTTCTCAACCAGAAGCCTGGCAGTGACCTCTCAATCATCTAATTCTTCTCCTCTCCATATACTAATGAGCAAAAGTAGGCCTATTTTAAAGTTGGGAATCATCCTTTTCATTTCAACCATGAATCTCAGCACTCCACTGAAATTAGATAGTCTTAAAACAACACTGATTATCCACAAGGTCATGACCCCTCTGTGGCCCTCCAGACTCAACCACTATTTATTCCTGAAATTCCTGTTCAAAAGACATTGCATGAATCACCTACTACACTACATAATTTGTTTTCTTTCTTTTTCTTTTTGACTAGAAAAATGTAACAGATTGAAAAACAACTTCAGGGAAAGGTTTCTCACCCCTTCTCAATTTTTAATGTGCTGAACCGTTTTTCAGACAAATTAAACATATGAATTTAGCTGACATTTAACTATCAAAATGTTTCTTTCTTGAAACAGCATCCGAAAACAAGCCACTGCACTCTCCCTCTGCTAAATCTCATTTAGGCTGACCTTTGGTAATTACTTGCTCTTTTTCTCAACATTATTTTCAACTGATTATATTTTTCCTTAAAGGATTTATTGTTCCCCTGAGTATGCTTGAACTGCTTTTTTAAGCAAGCTCAATTTGAAACAATGTTAACAAAATCATTGGGAATTATTTCAAAACAGAAGTACTTAGAACAGGAGAACTAGGAGGTGTTGGGATCTCTGTGGTTTGAACAAGGAACCAATACAATGGGGATGGAAATGAGGAATTGCTTAGAATGGTACCACTATTTTATCTATACTGTACAATTAAAGCTGTTTGCTGATGCTTTAACGAGCATGGCTCCATCCTATGAAATTCTGGGATTTTGTAATTTTGAGAGGTACTGAAAATTCTCTAGTGCTGTCCTCTGTGGCCAAAGAATTCTATATACCTTACCAAACTACAAATCCCATAATTCCACAGGATGGAACTATGACCAGTAAAGTGGTATCCAAGTGCCACAATTGT